CAGACGAGGTCAGGTCACGGGACGAGAGAGCCGAGCCGCTCGCTCGGTCGATAGAACGAAGCTACCACCTATGCCACGCGGCGGTGGCGACGACGACGGCGACTGCGACGGTGGTAGTATCACACCATGTCGAGCACTCACCATGGCTAATGAGAGCGAGCGTACACTTCCACTACTTATACTACTACTACTAACTATACTCCATTCTACGCTCCGACGAGCTCGATGCGATTTCTCGACGCGCCGGGGGAGCCTGGAGCAACGTTCTCATGTCGGATGTCGACATGTCGAATGATGCCTGATTAATGCGGCCGGCCTGCGATCGACGTGAAATATGCGCGCGGACGGGAGAGATTAAAAGACAAATTAAGACGTATCGCTGGCGCATTATGGTAAGAATATACGTTGTAGAAGGCGAGCTTTATTCAGGGAGCGCCGAACGCATGAATTGGGAACGTATTGTGCGGCTGCGCTAATGTTAACGCGAATATCTAGATGTTCTACAACTCCGTTTGGTATTCATGCTTCCGACTTGTACGACTTATCTTTTGCATGACTGAGACCGGTATTGGGCAAGATTCACTCGCGAATAATGAATAACGATTTCATATTTGTCAAAACGTCAGAGCATTGTACTTTATTCGCGCTAAAGCGTCGATGTACATTTATTTGATGGGAAATTATTATCCGATTATTTCATACGCGCTAATACACGTTTAAAGCTGTTGCTCATTACAGATGATATCGTTAATTTACAAGGTTTCTGTGTCGACATCTGAATGATGAGTCTTATGTATTTTTAGCTGCTGAAAAAATATAAGTCTAGAAAAGTTCCGCTAATAAATTTTGAGAAATCAAGGATTTTATTTTCGGAAAAACTATAAATTTAATAATTTACACCTTGTTTCTTTTATCTTAAGGAATAAAATGCATAAGAATCGTTTGATGTTGAAAAACAGAAATCTTATAAATCGATGTGATTTTTTGATATTAAAATGTATATATTGTCAATATTATTTTAATATATCATTTAAAATTGTATATAAATAATAAAAGAGATATCATACCATCATATTTTATTTTGACATATTTAGAAAAATATTTAAATGCCTTACAGCTGTACAGGGTGCATCTGAAGTAACGCCCCACACAGAAAAAAGTATTTGGTTGTCGTAACCAAAATTTGGTAAACCCAACCAAATTTGCTTAAAATAGGTTCAACCAAATATTTGGTTACTCCAACCAAAAAATTTAGTACAGTCATACTTATTATAAATTACAATTTCCAGTATACTGATAAAAATTTGGTATAAATAATAACTTATTTGGTTGATATATAACTTATGAAGTTTTTTTTATTTTTTAATTTATAAATTGTGTCATTATAATCAAAATTACTTAGAATAATAAAATTTTGATTATAACACAATTTTTTAATTAAAAAATTAAATGTTTTTATAAGTTACGTATCAACAAGATAAATATTCACATCAAAATTTCTCTCAATGTAGTTTTTAAATAAACGTTTCCGTTATATTGTTTAATGAAAATTTGTCTTAATTCACGAGATCTATCCCAATGTTCTTTTACAGATGACCATGAAGCTGTATTGTACCGCAACCATTGCAAATGCGTATTGCAAACACGTTTAGCTGTAATTTATATTTGACTTTAAAGAGTTTAATTTCTACTTTCAGATATCATCATATAATATATCAATGTAAAATCAGTTAAATTCATGATGTACTTAAAGAAATATGATTTAAAGAGAAATAATGACGATTTTATTATTGTTATTATCGTTAGGCTCGATATTTGATTCAATATCTAAATCATTAATGTTTTCGTCAGTTTTCTTTCGTTTCCCCTGTACAAGTCCAATTAATCGACACTCATCAAAGTTTCCTTTTGACACTTTTTGAGAAGGTCCTTCACACTTTGGTGGAACATAATAAAATGTCTGTTTTTCATTTGGAAATAAATTCCTGATTTTTTTTGATAAAGTATCAAAATCAGTATTAAATAAGTGAACTCTACAAACATTATAATATACGTATATCTGTAATACATATTTTGAAATACATAATAAAAATATTTTCTATAAATTCTTAATAATTACATTTCTATAGTGTCTACTGATTTTTTAAACATGAACTGAGTAACAAAAAGTTCTGTCAATTTTCTACGTTTGGCTTCATCAAGTATGTCATGTTTCTCATAAAATTTTACAATAATATGTCCATCTATGGAGCTTAATAAAAGTTCCTTTAAGTCCTTCACATTTTCAATTGTTGCTGAATTGGAATAATATGGAGAAATACGTGAAGTTGTCTTTAATTTCTGACCGTTATTAATTTTCTTCAATTCTATTTTTTTATCAGATTTGTTTAATGAAGAATCTATATTCGCTTTTTTAGTATTTGATACATCTGATGAATCGCTTGAACAATTTTCACTGCTATGCGAACTTTCAGCATCAGAACTATCAGTAAATGTTGTATTTAATATTTCTTTACATGTAGGATGTTCTTTTGTATATGTCTATAAAAAAAATTAATAAATATATTTTTCTTTTTTTCAATTAATCATATTTTATTAATATTTTAAATAATCGATGTTCGTATTTGTGGTTGATTTGTATGCTTTGAATTTTAATATTGATAATTATTTTCTTTAAAAATAATTATCAGTATGAAAGCGTTTAACTTTTTGTTGCAAAAAAACAATATTATTATACACACAAAAAACTTACAGAAGCATTACTGCAGGATAATTTAGAAAACTCAGGTTTGCTTTTTTTACGAATTGATTCTTTATTTTTTCTTTGTTCACAATTAAGAGACTCTGTCTTTGTTGTAAGTGGTTTCCATAATTGTTCATTTTTGTTGGAAAACAACTTTGCCGATTGATTGACATTATCCGATGTCTGGTGTGAGTCGTCCTATAAAAGTATAAAGTAGCAAAATTAAGCTTACATGTGCAGGGATCGGTGAAATATAATTAATATGACTTATTTAAAAAAAAAATATATATATTGTATATATATATATATAATATATATGTGTAGATATAATAGATTACAGAAACGCGTATTTAAAATTAAAAATACTAAACAACTCTTATTCAATTTATTTAAATTACATATTTTCGATAATGATATTTTAAATACGACCGACCTCCGTATATATGTGTATAAGATTATATAATTTTATTTGCAAAATTCTAAAAATTACAAAAATTTTTGTCATACTTTTATACTTTCTATCAATAGTTTCCTTTTTTCAAGAAAACAGCATATGCCTCCAATGGTAGATATTATTTGTGCCACTTCAGTCTCATTAATAGTAAGAAAAGTTTCTTTATCAATATCTTCCTCTAGATAACATATAAAATATGAGGATGAGATTACATGGTGGAAATTTTTTTCAGAATTTTTATATAAATTGGACTACTCAGAAATATTCCGAAAGTCTATTATTTCTTTTTAGAATTTTTTATATGTCGTTTTGTGAATTCTAAAAAATATATATTCTAAAATTCGTATTTAAAAAAATTAAGAAATTTTATGAAAAATTATAACATTATAGAAATTCTGAAAATTTCCGAAAATTCTAAGAAAAATGTTATAATTCTGATGAAATTCTGATCGCAATTCAACTATCTCGCAGTTTCATAAACACGTCCGGCGAAAATGTATAATATATATTATATTTAGGGCTACCATTCGTCGTCTTTTCTCCTTGACATCGTCCTCTTTTTTTAGGATAGAGGAAATGTCCAGGGAGATTTCCCAAAGATACCCGACATAATTATGAACGATAATTATTCGAGAAAATCTCAGACGTTCCGAACGCCTTAAAAGAGGATGGCGTCCGAGAAAAATAACTTTCGAATGACAGCCCTATATATATATATATATATTATATACACGTACGAGGAATAAATGCTAAACTCCTGAAATTGTACATACACGTATCGGAGAAGGTACATGAAGAAAACACGTAGAAGAAAAATAGAAAACACGCGAAAGTCATTTGTATTCTCAAGGGTACTTACCAATAAATCGATCATACCATTTAGATAAGTTCCATTCCTGCAATTTTATTTTGATGAATTCCTCGTTTGTGTTACACATAATGTTTTTCTCCAATCTTGATAGATAAAGCACAAAACATTAACAATGACTACACACAATAGATAACATCAGAGACACGATACTAACGTAGTCGACAACACTTCAACGGTCGTCCGTTCGCTGCGCCCGGCCCGTACAAATAAATGCCCATGAAACAAAAGCCGAGAGCGTTTGTTTCCATGCACGCGCACCGTGTATGCTTACGCGTCAGGCGCGCGAATTTGAAAAGAGTGTGCATTTGACTTATAAGTTTTAAGGCCGGTATTTATGCGTACAGTCGATTCTTATATTTAAGACCGTCTTCAATACTTAAGATATCATAAGTCAATCACAGAATTATATATTATATATCATTTAAAGATATTATTTAAAATGATCTTGAAATAAAAATTGACTTATATATATACGAATATCGCGCGGTATTCCAAATTCGTATACCAAAATAGCAATTTTATGATCGTATTATGCGTATTTTACTTATAAACAGTCATTTCCATTGTAATTTATATATAACAAATATATGTTTCCCAGATTTGTGCCCTAATTTTGCGCTAATTTAAACGAATTGTGAATTTTGTTCTCTTTACAATAAATTTGGTTGACACAAGTAAAAAATGTCATACCGTCAACCATAATGGTGTCTACCAAATACTTTGATTGCAATTAAAAAAATAATTTTTTCTGTGTAATCATACAGTGCTATTCCTAATAAAAAACTGAGTCGAAAAGTCCTCTACCATTTTTCAATTTTTGCAATGTTTTCTTTGTCACCCAACGAGCAAAATATCTAAAATCGACGTATAAGGCAACTTAACCCTTGAACATCACCGTAGGTTACGGTAATCCAGTCCGTTTGAAAAAATCTGAGAATCTTCGAATAACATAAAGAAGAATACAAAAAAAAAGGAGAGGGAATTAAAGAATTACGCATCCCTATTATAAATCCCCCGCCTGGCAACCTCAGCGTGCACGAACCAGTCGAGATAGAACGCCATGAACTTACTGTGTGGGTTACGCTAACCCTGTGTAGTTATTGTGGTTATTACGTTTTTTATTTCGAAATCAAATTGTAAGTAAATATATGAACAAGATCAAATTTAAATGTGAATTCAAATCGAAGAATTCATGAAACACGCAGACATTCCAGAAAATCAAGATCCGCGCGATATATTAGCTGTAAACAAAATAGAAAAACAAAGAAGATGTTCATTCTGTCCAGGGGCTTTAGATTGGGAAACTTATTACATATGCTTGCAGTGCTAACAGCCAATGTGTAGGGAACATGTCGCAAAAATTTGTTTCGCCTGTTCCACATAAATCAATGAATACTTTCATTTGTATATTTAGATGTCATATAATAAAGACTTTTGCATTAATTTTATCGTATTACTTGAAAATCACCCAAATTCAACCTCGTCGAATAAATATATCTAATCACCCAAATTCAACCTCGTCGAATAAATATATTTTTTAGGATAATTCATAATAATGTATTTATTTTCTTAAAATACAACTTAATACGTTTCGATTTCTGTAAATTAAAATCTTGTATCATTTTTTTGGAAAATAACTAATTTATTTAAAAAAACAACGATTTTTTTTAATTTTGAAATTTTTTCTTCCTTTTTTTCAAAATATCTTGGTTTTTGGAAGTTTTATGATATTCTTATCTATATATTCTTTTTCCTTAATGTCTGTTGTATCGATTAAAAAAAAGAAGTTAAAATTGATGCATTAAATCCCGAGATAAAAGTAAAAGAAGACTCCAGGGTTATCGTAATCCATGTGTAGTGAAATCAGGTGGCGAAAATAGTGTGGTGTTCAAGGGTTAAAGTTATCTTTAAGAGTTATCTTTAAGAAACATCTTCAAGATATTTCACAAAGAACAATGAAAAATATCTTTAAAAAAATTGTCTTATACATCGATTTTATTTGTTTATTCAGCAATTTTTTCTTTCGAAATTAATATCTCGTTAACTATTGTGAAAATTGCAAAATGGTAGAGGAGTTTTGATTGAGTTTTTTATTAGGAATAACACTGTATGATTAGTGGGCGTTATTTCAGATACACCCTGTATATTACAAAGTTATGAATTTGCGTTATTATACAGGGTGTCCCAAAAAGGTCGGGACACCTAAATATCTCGGGAAATATAAGTTTTACAGAAAAGTGTTTCAGACAAAAGTTATATGGTTTAAAAATATCTATTTACTGATCCTATCAGTTTGACCTTGGGTTGCGTAGCCAAGGTCAGGTCAAGGTTACATTGATTTTCTGAAATAGAACACCCTATTTTTGATTCAAGAATCTAATAGCTGATATCGAGAGCTTTCCAAAACGCTATAATGAAATATTTTTTCATGAAGTACTTTTCAAGTTATAATGCTTCAAAGTTACAGTATCGCCGGCACTAGCATTACCAAAGATATGTAATACCACGCGTTATGTTTTTGTTTGTGCGTTAACTGAAGGTCAAGATTCACGGACCACCGACTGATCTCGCCTTGACTGGCCAATCTCTAAAATTAAATATTTTGGGTAATGCTAATGCCGGCGATACTGTAACTTTGAAGCATTATAACTTGAAAAGTACTTGATAAAAAAATATTTCATTATAGCGTTTTGGAAAGCTCTCGATATCAGCTATTAGATTCTTGAATCAAAAATAGGGTGTTCTATTTCAGAAAATCAATGTAACCTTGACCTGACCTTGGCTACGCAACCCAAGGTCAAACTGATAGGATCAGTAAATAGATATTTTCAAACCATATAACTTTTGTCTGGAACACTTTTCTGTAAAACTTGTATTTCCCGAAATATTTAGGTGTCCCGACCTTTTTGGGACACCCTGTATAAGAAATTGAAAGTAAAGATATCAAAATTTAAAATGACTTATTCTTTTATAGTATTTAAAAATCTTACAAAAAACACCTGTTGAGAAACACTTGTTGAGAAACAAATGTTGATCAAAATTTAATATTCAGTGTATTTTATCACTTATCCGGCAATGTCGAAAACGTTCTTTTACACACAAATATATATACACATATATATATGCCACGCGTTTTCAATTTATCACTTTATCATAAACTGATTCGAGAGGATAAATTATTAATACTTTTGTGCGGTCTGTCGGATGTAAATAGACGCTTGTAAATGCATATGTTCCTCACGGCCGTCGATTAAATGCCAAGCGAGGCGGCTAAAAAGAGAGATCCAACGTGGTCGACAAAGCCGCGAACGTCAAAGTTATCATTATTTAGGTCGCTCTATGCATTTCCGCGAGAGGCTCGGAAGTTTTCTTCTCTTATTTTTTCCTTTTATCGCTCATCGTTCAGGAACACGCGTCAGCGCCTGAAGACATCTGTACTTCTGTACCTCCAGGGTACATGTGATTTCTATTAAGGAAAATAACCGTGGGACATGCGGCTCGTGCATGACCTCCAGTATACGAAGCCTGGCGCTTGCGCTTCCTCGTCCAGACTTTTCCACGAAAGAACCCCGAAGATGACGTCCTCTCGCCATTGATTATAGTGTCGTGAGCTCGACACTATAATATGTAGCAAACCACGAATTATATACTTGCCAAACTCTCGTAAATTCTCTGCAAACGACGGAAATCAATTATTACTCTGTACAACAACGAGATGAAAAGGGAATTTATTAACCTCCGTGCCTCGTAACTTTCCTATCTTTGAAAGCCGAATAATTTAAACGAATCAATATCGAAGGCTGGCCTTATAACAGTAGGACATTTAGTGTCAATTTATTTTCGGAAACTCACAAGTCGCGAAAGGTTAAAGTGTTAACGATTCTCAAGGAGCACACGCGGTGTCGACGAGGTGAATCGCCACAAGAGTTGGCTTCGCTTCAAGAGAAACGCGGGTCATAAGTGAAAAGTGGACGGGAGAATCTTTTCCGAGGATTTTACGGAAACGCAACGAGAGTTCCGAGCGAACGTTAAAGCTCGTGTCACACTACGCATTGTGAATTGGATTTCAATTGCGGACTGCGAATCATTGAGTACGGATTGCGAATCGTTGACTAGCGAATTAGATCGATGATTCGCAATTTGCGATCCGAGTCCAATCCCGCACAGAAAAAGGTTACTTTAAATTTAACAAATTTTATTAAAGCTAAATATTTTCTTACAAAGAAAATATTTAGTTTTATTTCATAGAATAATATTTGGTATAATCAAAGAAAATGTTATTTCGTCGAAAAATATTGCTCCATATAATTGTTTTTTCTGCCAAACAATATAACTTTAATGCAATCAATCTAAAAAATTGGTATTATAAAACAACGTTTTATTTAAAATTAAATCATGGTTTCAATGAAATAAACGTAAGTCAAACAAATAAAAATGTCGAATGTAAAGAAATCCTTTTCTCTATGTATATGCAGTGGCGACTAAGAATTGCAAATTAGAGATTAAAATTCGACCAGTCAGATAATTTTAATCTTAATCCATTTCTGATGTTAATCGATTACTCACCATTGAAATTCATGCCGCGAGTACATTATCGAACAATTTAACTAATGAGATTTTCGTTGAAAATAGCTCAAAAAATAAGCTAAAACGTTCAGATATTTTCATCTGTAATTTAAATTAATAATAATTGTGAATTTTAATTCATGCGCATCAATTACAATTGCTTGATTCCCCTGGTTCATAAATCGAAATCAAATCAATATCGATTGATTTTTCGGACCGTTTGATTTGATATCGACTAGTGTTGCGAGGGAAGGAAAGAACCGGAAAAAGAACCAGGGAAAAAACCCGGGAAAGAATGGGAACGAATAATGTTTCTTTCCACGCTTTGAGAGAAAGAACCCATGGCCACCGTATTTTTTTTACATATAGCGACATTGGCGACAATGGCGATACTATCAATTAATATGAATCAACACGCGTATCAGTTATTTTAACTATCTATAGTATCTATAATACTTATATCTATGGCCTATGGTCGTAATATATCTTTAAGTGTTAACTAATAAAATTTATTTTAACTATCTATAGTATCTATAATACTTATATCTATGGCCTATGGTCGTAATATATCTTCAAGTGTTAACTACTAAAATTTTATGTTTCTCGTTTATTTTATGTTGTTCTTT